CAAATTCTCAAACTTTCAAGGGCTGCTTCTGTCTAGAATATCTCCTTTGTTCGATGGGAATTCCTCGGCATGATGGGATCAGGAGGTAGGTCGCTAGCGGAGGAACCCTGTAGTGTGAATGTTACCATTTGAAGTTGTTGAATGTTGACAATTGACTAAAAACAAAAATTGCTGAACGTGACTAAGGACAAAATTTGCTGAATATATTTTTTGTCATTTAGTGATATATTTACAGTTTTATGTTTTAAATAAATTATTAATATCATAAATCAATTTGTAACTTCGTTATTAGTTTGTGGAAATTTTGTTTTTAATGGTTTTTTTTTTGTAATACACAAGATGAAATTATTATTTTTGTTTGAATTTTTATACAATTACCGAAATATTTGAACAAGTACTATCAAAAAAATTATTTTACAATAGATCAAGATGATTAAATTATATCGGATGGACAATAGATCATGAGTATATTTAATGAATTGTTAACCTTGATAAATATTCAAATGAACCCTGAAAAAAAATTGATATATAGTGTTGAAAAATTATATATTATTATTTGATATAAAATTATTTTAAATCTATAAAAAAAATTATTATTCTTAATAGAAAACGTGATTCAATTTTAGTTATTTATTTACTCAAGTAATATGTTAGATTTCCGCCACATTCAGTCAGATTCTACAATTACCATTTAAATCATCATATTCAACTAGATTCCACAACAAATCATCAAAAAATTCCTCCAGATTTTGCATTCAATCAGATTCCGCAGTTACCATTTACACTATAGCTTTTCTAAATACCCCATCAATTCTAAAGAGACAGTAAGGACGTCTTCGCGCATTTAATGCTCACAAACACTTTAAAGTTAAGAAAAAAATAGAAATTATCAACAGCTTGCTCTAAATACAGACCACACATAAGACATAATTATCGACCGCCTATTTTGACCCGAACTTTTTCCATCATGCACTTTTAGACCTGAACTTTTACATATACCATTTTTAAACCTCAACTCAAAAATGATTCAAATTTTATACCTGAACTAACATCTGATGTGCCGAAATATACCTTTACCAAGTTTTCGTTAGTCAACGTAAATGGAATAATGACTAAAATGACATGTGGATTAGGTGACTCAGTTTTGTTGGCTCATAAAGACGTCGTTATGACTTAGAGGAAACACAAAATCGAATCCCTAATTTGATAAACCGAATGCTAATTAGAGTGAGGATCTATCGAATTAAAGATTCAATTTTGTGTTTTCTCCATATGAAAACGACGCCATTTTACTAAAACAATGAAACGATATCGTTTTGAGTCAACGGAACCAAGCCACCTAACTCACATGTCATCATAGCCATTATTTTGTTAATGCTGACTAATCGGATCTTGGTCGAGATATATTTCTGCCAAGGGCATGTTAGTTCATGTATTAAATCTGTATTATTTTTTAGTTTAAGTTGAAATAAGCTATATGTTTAAGTTTAGCTCTAAAAGAGCACGACAAGAAAAGTTGATGTCGAAATTGGTCATTTTTCCGATTCTCAATAGTCCAAAAGAAAGTTTCATCCCTCTCCAACGAAGCATGATCATATATTTCTTATCTTGTTTCACACGATTATACGTACCAAGTACGTGTTAGCAAGAAAAAACATCACCATCTTGTAATTATCTTTATTCTATCAATGGA